GAAAGGTGAAAGAATTTTTAAATTTTTAAGTTAAGAATTTTTAAAGGCGCGGAGAACTTAACGGGTTACCGGGGCTCCGGCTCGAAGTGCAGGAGAAGGAACGGGGTGGTTTTTAATCAGTAAGAGTCTGACAGTCTCTCCCGCCTCGCCGAGGCCTTCCAGATAGGCCGGTTGCAAGCGACCTGCATCCAGCGGCTCCTTGCGACCTTAAGGTTAATCGTAACGCGCGCGCCTCATCGAGCCATCAGACCACCACAGATGGGGCCCAATAGGGTCGATGCCGATTCGGAGTCGCGGAGAACCTAACGGGTAACCGGGGCTCCGGCTCGACGTGCAGGAGAAGGAACGGGGTGGTTTTTAGTCAGTAAGAGTCTGACACTCCCTCCCGCCTCACCCAGGCGGGAGCAGTCATTCGATGATTTTTCCCCCCGTAAAAAAACAGCTTATTCGTAACAAACAAAAAAAACGATTCATCTATATGGTATTGATGTTAGTATTACGAAGTCTGCGGTTTTGTGACTCATCACTCATCAATTATCTTATAATAAGACTTGGTATTTTTATTAAATGCTGGGTAATAAATGCTTAGTGGACTCTTTATTTGCGTGTTTGATGTAATATAGCGTATTAGGTACGTGTGCCTGAATCGTCGAGTGGCGTACTCAGTCACGTCAAACGGCTGAAGGTATCAGGATATAATTTGGAACAAGGGTGGATTGTGGTCTGAAATAACACGTAGGCTACTTTTTATCCTACGAGAACCCGTACGAAGCTTTTTTTATGGAATAGGAGGCAAACGAGCATACGGATCACCTGATAAAATAGTAAGCGATCAGCGCCGTCCATGGACTATGGCAACACCAGAGGAGTCACAGATGTGTGCCGGCCTTTTAAAAAGGAATACGCTCTTTTCTTGAAGCTTTGAAGGAAGCTGCTGGCAGAAGCTAGCTCTATATTCTCCCACAAATGAATTCCTACCTCACACCCACCCGTAAGCATTTTATTTACAACTAAACATGATGAACATACCTGAAAACGTTTGTTACCTCGTCAGTAGTCTCGTTTTCATGAATTTTTCAGTAGGTTTAGCTCGCTACCCTGAAACAAGGACCGCAATACGGCGCTAGGGATCTATTTCGTATGTACGTGTACACAAGCTATACTTGACCTCTTACTTGGTCTCGGGTTGTACGATCTTTCCGTACACTCGACGGTCAGTTTATACTGGTTGCATAGCATATGGCTATATGGTCTCTGTAGCCACACCGAGCTATACAAAACCAATTTATCTTGGTCTCGGTTCGTACTGTCTTTCCGCACGTTCGACGGTCAGTTTATACTGGATCTGCATGGCTTGATGTGTAGTCGTGTGTACGTGAAATGGGTCTTATTTGGCGCTAGTTGTTATGGACCTCTTTTGGGTTTAGGAACAAAATTGTGTTAGTTATTTACCTCGGCTTAAAACAGTGTTTAATTAGCTTAAGTTTATTTATTTATTTGAAAGGTTTCATTCATTATTATGGTATGGACAAAGATGGGCTTAATGCCATAGGCATTCTCCTCTAGCCAGACCTTTGGGTGATGGTGGATGCAAGAAGCGAGCGTAGCTTCATATGTTGTCCTTTCATCAGCCATCTTTATCCTTCTTATAGCAATTACTCCCAATTATATCCCTTCCTCCTCCCCAATCTTCCTAAGCCCTGAATCCCCAACAATCCTCAAATTCCCAATCCCTAGTCGATGGGTGACGCTGACTGCTTACCGCCATGTGAGTCAGTCAATCGTATCTCATAAAAAAAAGCAAACTCTATAGCGAAATGAAAAAAGGACAAGCATACAGGGAGCTGCATTTTAATTTATGCACGCTATCCTTCAGGCTACCGGACTACAGCTGGTGTCACTGAAATATTCACAAGTTTTGCATTGTTCCAGCGTCCCTGTGATATAAACGTAGGTACTGGCATTAGCCAGCGGCTGCAATAACACATAGGGTACTTTTTATCGATCTCCGGGGAGTCGGCGAACCTCCTTGCCGGATTACCGCCGTGGGATCTGGAGGCGAAGGTGCTCGCGCGCGTACACAGCATGCGCGCGGAGGCACGTCGCCGGGGCGAAACTCCGCTGCCGCGCCAGATAAGTGCGTGGCGGGATGAGCTCCGGCGCGATCTCATGGCGGAATGGCAGCAACGACTGTCGCAACCGAGGGCTGGGCTCGCTGCCATCGCAGCGGTAAGTCCCCTCTTTGAGGAGTGGCTTGAGAGACGCTACGGCGTCCTCACCTACCGCCTGACGCAGGTCCTCACCGGACATGGAAGTTTCGGGAGGTACCTGTGTCTGATGGGGCGGGAGGAAACGTCCGGGTGTCACCACTGCGAGGGCCGCCCTGAGGACACGGTGGAACACACAGTGGGAGAATGCCCTGCGTGGGCTGAGCACCGCCGTGCCCTCAGGGAAGTGATCGGCGATGGCGACCTCTCGCGTCCGGGCCTAGTGCGGGCCATGATGCGGAGCGAGGGGGATTGGGATGCCGTCTCCTCCTTTTGCGAAGCAGTCATGCTAGCTAAGGAGGAGGCGGGACGCGTGAGGCAGCGAAGCGCTGCCTCCTCGCAACCCAGCCGTCGCGAAGGACACACCGGGCGTCGGGGATCGCGGGACGATCTCCGGCCACCGTAAGTGCGGGCCTGCGGACGGCGAGCATGGGTGGCTCCCCGTCCGACCAGAAACAGACCCGAGCGTACGGCGCGTCGCGTTCCGCGCGCGCCTCAAAGAGCCATCAGACCACCATAGATGGGGCCCAATAGGGCCGATGCCGATTCGGAGTCGCGGAGAACCTAACGGGTAACCGGGGCTCCGGCTCGACGTGCAGGAGAAGGAACGGGGTGGTTTTTAGTCAGTAAGAGTCTGACACTCCCTCCCGCCTCACCCAGGCGGGAGCAGTCATTCGATGATTTTCCCCCCTTAAAAAAAAAAAAAAAGGTACTTTTTATCCCATAGAACACAAGCGAAGCCGCTGGCCGAAGCTTCTTCTTCGTCTTTTGGTGCCACTTAGTTCCTGAAGGTTGGCTGTCAGCTTCTTGTAATTGCTCCTTGTCATTGGCGGAAAAGTTGTTCCACAGAGCTCAAACCGGTCAATTCCCGAATATTGCGCAGCCACTTCTCTTCCCTTCCACCTTACCCATCATTATAAGATGAAGCAGCATGTCTCAGTGCGTGACCGAGATATTCAGGCAGACACTAGTCATGTAATTATTATTAACAGGCTTCATTTCTCTTTGTATCATTTAGTCAGAATTCTACATAATCACCCCTAACTGTTCTTAAAACCGTCTGATCGGTAAGCAATCTATCAAATACTTTGACACGGTAACAATAAAGTACAAATTCGAACAATCCACCCTAAATTGAGGTTAAAGGGCATTTCCTTCTTAAATTGTCAATAGCAGGAAACCGTACCTATGTGCTTGAATTTAATGATCATGGTTAATGCGAAAATAAACTCTGTTTGTGATGAACGAAAGTTGAATGTTGCTTGGTGTTTTGGATACAGTTGGTGGATTTATTTATTCGTACGTTAGGAGTTGTTTAATTGGGGTTAAATTGCTTGCAGCAATTGATATTTAACATTTATATAGATGCTATAAAGTTTTGTTGGTGACTATACAAATTACTAGCTGAACCGGCAAACTTCGTCCCGATTAAAAAAATGTTTTCTCACCTTTAAAACATTCCCTGGATTTCCATGAACATTTCAACACCAAAATTAGCCAAATCGGTTCTGCCGTTCTCGAGTTTTAGTGAGACTAACGAACGGAAATTCATTTTTATTTATATAGATAGCGTTTTTCTTTTTTCGATATGATTAGTGATAGCGAGCCATCTGGTGTGTGTGGTGTATAGCAATTGTATTGAAAATAATTTGTGTTTTCTTAGAAAATTAGGGAAATTATGCATGGTGCTTCAGTAGATAAAGTAGAAACGACTTTCAGTTAGTCCATTGTTGAAACTAGTTGCTCACTCCAAAAATTCATATATGTAATAACGAATATAATTTCAACTTTTCTGCCTTATCCTTGTTACCATATAAGGCGTAGTATGAAAGTAAAATAAATAGCATACAGTAACACACATTTCTGCGTACAATATTCATACAAATGACCCCTAACCGCACCTAAGGGAGTCATTAAAAATTTCATTCCATCTCAGAGGCGGACTAAACCTAAAGAGCGCCTTAGGCAAGCTCCTCATAGGCGCCCCTAATTTCTTTTGGCGCCGCCTCCACTCTGTGGGCAGTTGAGCACGCGCGTCTCGCGGCGCCCCTCTGTAACCTGGCGCCCTTGCCTAGTTTGTCTTAGGGATAATACGGCTCTGTCCAACCTACGTGTATACGTTGGTACGGGAATTCTTTACAAAACCAAAAACAAAAGTGCGTTGATGAGGCGGTTAACGAGCGTAGTTTACGCTTTCTGGGGACGGATAAAACCTTTTCAAATCCCGTACGGGGTATTTTAAGGGGTTCAAGTAAAATGGCACCTCAATTTTTGTATAGAAAGCTCTCGGAAGACGTTTTTGGAGGTTACTTTCAGTATTTTTTGCTTGTGGTGGGGTTTTCTAGATTCCTGTGCGTTTTTGTGTCTTTATTTTGTGCTGAGTTTGCGAATCGAGGTCTTGTTGGTCTTAGGAGGTCTAAGTTTGATTGAGTCTTATAATAGTATGATTTACTAACGAAGTTGCTCTATAAATGCTTTTAGATTTAGTTTTTTCTTCTAGTGTTGCTGGTGTTTCGTCTACTATTTTTTCCCCTATCCTACCAGAAAACCATTATAATATCTGTAATAACCGGTAATCCTGAAAGACTACATTTGAAACTGTTAATAATTTTTTTTCGTTAAAACACCTTTAAATGTAGGTGTTTATCGGCTCCGACGTCTTAACAAACAAAGCTTGTCGTCCTGACCTTTCCAACTTTAAGTATATTAATGATTCTCTCTCATTTGTTCCAGAAACTTCGCAACAAAATGGCGCAGCTGAAACATAAACGAGGGAAGTCCAAAAACTAAAAGCAGGTCAAAAAGATCGAACTCATAATGACCTAGACAGATATTGTGATAGAAACAGCCAATCATATAGGCCTATTTTACTAATTAGAAAATTTAACAGCGTTCCTTTAGCATATAGTGTCAATTAGCGTAAACCAAAGTAACTTTAGGGTCCTACCTCTATAGAAAAAAATTCAAAAAAAGTATATTTTTGAACCAAAGCTAGTCTTTTAAGCATGTCGAATCAGATACCTATATATAGCCAGGTCGTTCCAAAATCTCAATACCGAGCGAAAAATTCTAAAGTTAATAAAGTTCAGAATCCGACGAGAAACGACTTCGACCCTCTGAATTATAATAACGGAGGGAATTTCGCCATGAGTTCTCCCCTTGATGGGAAGGAGAAGAAGGAGGATAAGCCTCGGAGGGTTAAAGAGGATTCGGGGAGGACTCGCAGGGTGAGGAATGAGGCGAGTGAGGGGAAGGTGGAAGCTTATTTGAGACAGTACCAGGTCAGCATGAGGCAGCAGCAGCATCGACATTCCGCTGTAAGACAGGCTGAACACCGGGTTAATCTCAGGTAAATATGATTGTCTGATAGTTAATATTATGGACTTTCATGTCATGTGACCATAAAATTACTTTGAATTCTTCTAAATTGGGTAGTTTCCAGGGTATCAAGATTGAAAATCTAATTAGTCCGTCAGTTGGATAATGAAAAAATATTAGACACGTTTTTTTATTTTCTCGTATTAAGTTGCAATACTTAGATAAAATGGCGCTAAGTTAAGGAGTGGGATGTCACACGATATTTCAAATTAATATATCATCGAAAGTATTTAATTTTGTGAGAAAAGAAAAAATACGAGTCTAAAGTTTTAAATTAATCTATCAGACGTACATTAAAATGAAAATAAAGTTTAGGAAACTACCCTATTACAATATACTTGCATCTCACACGTAATGTTGCTAGCCGCTATGTAGTTAATCAGAATTCAAGCATGATTACTGAGCAAGGCATCTCCTGGTCCTGTTCTATCCTCTAACAGTCTCATTTCACATGCACTTTTATACATACCTTACGCTTGTCTCCCATGGGGGTAGGCAGGGACTATGGAACGCCATTTGCTACAATTCTTACATACCTCTTTCGCTTCATAAATAGTCATTAGTCTTTCATGCAAGCTCGTCGGTAAAGGGTGCTTTTAATTTTGCCGTTATTTAATATATCGCCAATGTGGTTAATATATGTCCATCTAGGGCGCCCTCTACCGACGGCCCCATTCATATCCGCTCTGTATACTTCTTTCGTTTCCTTTCTACATGTCCAAACCAGCGTAACATTCCCTTTTCAATCCTTGTCACTACATCATCTTTCTATCCTCACCTTTAACACTACTTTTTACTCGATCGCTCAATTTTAATCCATGCACTTTTATCTAACTTCTTTTGGAGGAGAAAATGAATAGGGTATGAAGAGGGTAATATGAATATGTGAAAAATTAAAATGATAGCTCATTATCAACCGTTAAAAGATCATTTCCGAATGTTCCAGATCACTTCCACTGAATGACGTGGCGACATCTCGCGGCCACGACCGAACACCGACTGATCGTCACCGAGGCTTCCCAGAGAGAGATAGAGAAGGTTCCAGAGAACATCGGCGTGAGCGAGACAGGGATAGGGAACGGGAGAGAGATCCTTTTGATTTTGATGGTGAGTAGTGTCTTCTTTGTTACATAGGACTTACAGGATCTAGCTAGATTTAGTTTGTGCCAGCGGTAACGCGAGCCATGGTCCCGTGGGCAGAAAATTAGGTTTTTTTTAAGGGGGGACAATCATCGAATGTTTGCTCCCGCCTGTGTGAGGCGGGAGGGAGTGTCAGACTCTTACTGACTAAAAACCACCCCGTTCCTTCTCCCGCACTTCGAGCCGGAGCCCTGGTTAGCCGTTAGGTTCTCCGTGACCCGTTAGGTTGTGTTATTCCAGGCCATAATCTTCCTCAGTTCCAAAGACTGCAAGCCCTTTAGCAATACGGTATTTGACAATTAATCACAGGCTTACAGGAGTTGCGGCGGTTTTGGGAGGTTGAGGCGAGCTTGTCCCATTAAAAAAAAGTAGCCAAATACAATAAAGATAAAGGATAAAGGATAAAGATAATTTATTTGCATAAACATGTGTCATTCATACAAAAGCATGCAAGATGGTAATTGTTTAAAATCAGTGTCCAATACATGTTTTGCCCTTAGGGGCGTACAAATTCAATTTATAATAATTACAATTCATATTAAGATGTCAAAAAAGTATTATTAAATATTATTACGGTCTACATTTATTTATAGTGTCAAAAAGTAGTGTCAGCCAGAAAGTCATTCAAACAGTAGTAACACTTTTCTGCTAGTAAGCGTCTCATTTTTATCTTAAACATATTGGTGTTTAAACATTTATAATCCCGTGGAATTTTATTATAAATTATTGGCGCCATACAAAAAACGTTTTTGTGCATAAGAGCAGTCCTAGCGGGTTTCAGGCGAAGTCTGCTGTTATCCCGTCTATTCCGAGGCACAGTGTCAGACAGACGTGGGAAAAGATCAGGATTCGTTTTTACGAAAGTCGCAGTTTCAAGAATATAAAGAGATGGTAGAGTTAGTATTTTATATTTTTTAAAGATAGGCATACAGCTCTCTGTTGACTTTAGGTTAAACATGGCCCTAAGACATCTTTTTTGGGACTTGAATGCAATTTCTTTGTCTGTAGAATTACCCCAGAAAATTACACCGTAACGCAACACTGATGCAGCCAATCCATAATACGCTGTCACTAGAGCGTCTGGATTAAGCACTGGTGCAAGTTTGTATAGTGCATACGCAGATGAGTTTAGTCTCTTGCTTAAATTCTCAATGTGATGTTTCCAATTCAATTTCTTGTCAATTATTATACCAAGAAATTTTGTGGATTCAACTTCATTGATTATTGTGTCATTGTAGGCAACATTTACATTTGATTTAGATTGGTCTCGTTGGCTGAAATGGATAATGTTTGTCTTATTCAAATTAATTTTTAAATTGTTTCTATCTAACCAAGTTATTATTGATGTCAAGGAGTTATTAATGTCAGATTCATATGTCAAAATATTTTTACATTCTATGGTCATTGTACTGTCATCGGCAAATAGAGTTATAGGGTAGTCAATAATTTTAGGCAGGTCATTTATATATAAAATAAATAACAATGGCCCTAATACACTGCCCTGTGGGACACCGTATAGAGGAGAGAGTTCGTCTGATACGAAAATTTCCTCTTTTTTTGTTTTTACATTAATCCTAGTAATTTCTGTGTATTGTTTTCTATTGCTTACATACGATTGAATAAGATTCAAAATATTTCCGCGTATTCCGTAAGCCTCCAGTTTCTGCAATAGGATTCTGTGATCAACGTAGTCAAAAGCTTGTGTCATGTCACAAAACACAGCCGATACCGGGATTTTCTTGTCGACGCTAACCATTATTTTGCTTAAAAAATCATAGATGGCCATATTTATAGTCTTATTTTCCCTGAAACCCTTCTGTTCGTTGCATAGGATTTGTTTTTTTTCTATAAAGGAATAAAGTTCTTTATATATGTATTTTTCGACTATTTTGGATATGATAGGAATAAGGGATATTGGTCTATAGTTCTCCCTATCTTCTCTGCTATTTTTCCTTTTAAATATTGGTTTTACCACTGATATCTTCAAGGCATCTGGGTATATACCTGAGCTTATACACAAGTTGATAAGGTAGCTTAGGTGGACATCTATGGTTTCTGAGACATATTTTATGACTTTTGTAGAGATTTCATCATAACCTACACTATTTGATGATTTTAAGTTTTTTATAATCTTATTTACATCTATCGGTGTAGATGGTGCGACAAAGATTGAATCTTTACTGCTTTTGATGAGAGATTTTACATTTTGCCCGGACCCTTGAATGGGTTTGATCTTTTCCACAAAATAACTATTAAATGCGTTGGCTATATCAAGGGGGTCACTAATTGTTACATTATTTACATTAATTTTATTAATGGTTTCTTTAGGGATGTTACATTTTGTATTATTTATTATACTCCAAGTAGTTTTAGATTTATTAGTTGAGGTTCTAATGGAATGATTATGTTGAACACGTCTAGTTAATGTGACAATTTTTTTAAGTTTCTTTGAGTAGGTTTTGAAAATTTCCCTGTTGCAATATGTAGGGTTTAGTCTGTAGCGCCATAATAGCTGTCGTTTTCTCTTACTGCACAATTTAATGCCTCGCGACATCCATCTTGGCTTTTTTGTTAAGTTAACATTAATTATTTTGTGTGGAAAACACAAATCATAAAATAATTTAAAGTAGTCAATAAAAATGTCATATGCTTTGTTTGGATCACTTGTGTCGTATAGATCAGAGAAAGTCAGTTGTTTCAGGTATTCATTAAACTTAGTCATATTTTCAATGTTGTAGTCCCGTCGTTTTATACGCCAATATTTTAAAATACATGTTTTTTTCACGGGAATTTTTAGTATTTGGGCCGTATGGTCAGATAATGCGAACTCCACAACATCTGTTTCGCACGAAGATTTAAAATTATGTGCTATATTGTCTATGCATGTTTGTTTTTGGGTCCTTGTGGGTTGTTTAAAAGCTAATTTTAAGTCAAAGTTTAGTAGCATGTTTTCAAATTCTAGGGTAATTCTATTTCGTTCCAGAACGTTAATGTTAAAGTCACCTGCTAGTATAACATTTTTATATTTTTTTCTACATATACTTTGTAATGCTTTTTCTAAAATTTCAAAAAATAACTCGAAATTACTGATTCTGTTGTTTGGTATTCTGTAGAAACACAAAATGGCTATTTGGTATTGGATAAGTTCCGCACCGCAACATTCAACCACACCCGCTATAGACAAATCGTTAATGTGCAGTAAATTACGCCATTGATGTCCATTTTTAATTAAAATACATGTCCCACCGCGTTTATTGTCATTTCTACAGAATGATGACACTAAAGTATAGTTAGGTATTGTTAAATGACTTTCGTAGCCTAACATCATAAAATGTTCCGTTATACATAGAATGTCAACATTAATATTTTTATCTAAAAGTTCGTCTAAACAGATACATAACGATTCTACCTTATTCAATAATCCTGCGATGTTTTGATGCATGACATATAAATGATTCTCAACGAAAAAGCCAATTATTCATTACGATATTATTTGTAGGTTTATGTTCTGTCAATATTTTTAAATTACTGTTTGTATTCATTTTGTTGTCATGCATGCTTATGCTAGTAACAAGAGAAAGTAAGTCTACAAAAATAGTACGAAATCCAAAGTTATTCAGTTGTCCAGAGTGTCGATAAAATGTGTTATAGTCGTAAGAAATGTTTGAGTTGGAGTCTAAAACAAAAGCATATT